TCTGGAACGAATTCGGGAACCCGTCTCTACGAAATTTCGCAAGCTACCGTCAACCCTGCCAACTGGCGACAAAAAACTCTTATGCGCCGTGATAACCTGAAATAACGTGCTTCAGTCAACCCGTTCAACTACAATGGTTGGATGATCGTCTGATGAGAGGCTGCTAAGATTCCTCAGCTGAGATGGAACGATGAGTTAAAAGGGTCATGTGGAAGCTTGTGGTGACAAATCTAGTGAGACGAATGAACATGGATATGAAGACTAGGGTGGATGATGCCGGTTGAGTACAAAAAAACATCCGCCGTGTAGCGAGATTATTTGGGACGAAACAGTGGAAGAATGACAGATTGAATCTAATGACGGACATATAGTGTGTTCGACAGGGGAGAATGCCATGATCCTGGGTACCGTTAGGGCCGGCTAACCCGGTGATGGTAGCAACAGTAACTATAACGGTTCGTTCTTTGACAATACGTAACCTCGATTGTGTGAGGTTGCCACCAATAATGAGCGCTTTCCGATTCCTATGCATTAATTTAATCAATTTTTTTCTCTTTGGACATAATATTTTGGATTAAATTTAGGTACTTTTTAATTTTATCTATATGTAAAATTTTACTAGTTGTCGACACGCTTCTGTTTCTACTGTAATACTCTAATGATAAATGACGCTAATCCTGTTTGAAATGTCTGCTTCTAACTGTCTTTTAAAGACTTCTGTGAATCTGTTGGCACCGGATGTGTATAAATTTCTAGGGTTGAGCAAGTCTATATGACCAATATTATACAGAGTTACTGTAAAGACGATGTATTCATTCTTCGGGATTAACGGTCCCTGGCAAATGATCGTTTCGAGGATCATGAGAAACGATCACAACGGTCGTAGCGTATGAAACAAGTATTCTTTTCCGCATATCACTTTGACTGTGAGATTTCATACTTAATTTACGATATGAAGCGGGTACAGAATTAATAAAAAGCTGAATCATGCCATTCACATCAAATAGTAGACAACGTGATTAAAAGCATTCTTTATAGTTTTTTTTCAGGAAAATTACTAGTTATTTTAAAAGCAAGGCAACCTATTCTAATCTATATGATCCGCATATGTAAAGTGAAAATTTTTTTACTGTTGCTGTAATGTTTAAACATTATCATTAGTAACATTTTGATGTTTTAAACTCAGAAAAGCTCTCTTGTGTTAGAAGGTGGATAATTCAGTGCAATTCCTATTGTTGTACTGCGCCGTGGCCTAAAGCACATTTGTTTCAAGGATGCACCAGTATTCAACGATCAACCAAGGTACAACGACCGACCAACAAACGGTCAAGTCTGCGGAGGCTGAAGACATCGCAGGCAGCTGTAAAAGAAAGTTCATAAGTACAATTGAAGATGCACTAGATCGGTGTACGAAAACCGGAAAGCAGCTGACGAAGAAAAAGGATGAGTACTTTAAACACCTGAAGCCTCATCGCTTGCGAAAGGCCATCGCACACCGCTTGCACTGCTTCAAAAGTACAGTACAAGACACCTCGACCGTCAGTTTCTACGGCAAACTGGTGGAAGGACTGGTCGACGATTACCTGTGGGTCGCCCTGTGCATTTTGACACAGGAAATAATGGCCTTCTTCACGAGAATCGTTCTTAGTTCGCTGATGGCTCTGTTGTTCGAACGACTTGCCATCTTTTTGGTCACATTTTTCGTATGGCCCGTTTTCGTCTGGTGTCGCATTGATCAGATGCAGGACAGATCCGTGCACCGCAGAAAGTTCGCCGTGTTTAATGGCAGCGTTATGATGGGAATCTTCACCGGCTTTCTCTTTTCTGACTTGTATCTGGACATCCCTTCACCGCCAGTTTTTCTGCTACCATTTTCAATTGCTATGGTAATGCTTTTTGGACACAGCATATTGCCCCGAGCGAGGTTAATCACAATCCTAATGCTGTTGGCTTTAGCCGAGTCGATATGGTTTCTCTATGGCTTAGTATGGGGTCTGTCTCTGTCATACTTGACCTGGATGGTTATGCTTGGAATCGCCGCAGTTATCGATCTGCAGATGGTTTTAAAGCTTAAAGAGAACCACATTCAGTCTCATATTCTGCAGCAGTGGTGCACAGTCGTGCTATTCACAGTTGTTGATAGCCTATGTTACTACTTGATGGCAACCGGATAGAACTATTCATTATACTTTCGCAAACTAAACCATTAAACTTCTGCTCGTTTGCAGTTGGTTTGACGTTTCATACGTTAACAGTAACTCAAACCAAACCATAACTCTTCACCGTTTCTTAAATTATTTTAGATAAACTTAGATGAAAACTTTCGAACTTTTTTGATATCAAAGAATTTAAATATGGCCAAGCGCTATAATATAACCCCACTGACGTGGCGTAGCTGCTGAAAATGGCAGTTGTCAGACTCTCATAGCAGAAAAATAATATTAAAATACATTCCAGACGGTAAACAACTGTTCCTTGCAAATCCGACCGGCAAAAGGTCCAGGGAATGGCCAAGATTAACCTGGTGCAAACATATGGAAGGAATCTGTTCCAGACTGCATTTGTCTTTTGCCGAA